TCTACATAGTGAGTTCCAGGACAGCTGGGGCTACAGGAAGACCCTGTCTCAAAAAGACCAAAAAAATTTTAAATTTTTTTTTAAAATTTAGAAAAAAATTTACATATATGTTTTGCCTGCATGTATGTCTCTGTACCACGTGTATGTTTGGTGTCCACAGAGGCCGGAAGAACATGTCAGAATCTCTGGAATTGGAGTTACAAAAGGTTGTGAGCCTCCATGTGGGTACTGGGAACTGAACTTAGGACCTCTCTGTAAGAGGAGTCAGTGCTCTTAACTGCTGAGCCATCTCTCCAGCCCCCTATTTACCTTTTCAATACAAAACTAAAAATAAGATTTCTTGGATTTATCTATAAAAGAAATGCATCATACTTTTATGATTAGAGAGTTTTAGTTTAATTTTAGTCTAAGTTTAACTTACCTGCACTGCCTTAAGCAGCCCTTGTACAGTCTGAAGGGGCAGAAAGGACAAATAGTCAAAAATTTCTGTGACTTTAGAAGAACAACTCTGAAGAATTAAGGGTGCATACATGATGATACTTGAAAGCAAGTCTGAAAAACAGAATCTATAATGAGTTGCCTCATAAAACTATAAAATAAATAAGGGCTTATTTTAAATGAATATAGGAAAAGAAATGGTAAAGTTTTGTCTCTTTTCTGAAATAAATATACTACGATACAAATTTCTGATTATAAATAATTTTTCTCCAGTCAATGAAATCAAGCTATTTTATCATTTTTTGCGATAATACAAGGTAACAAAATTAAACTGTCCCTAAAAGGAAGCAACCCATTACACTGACTATGTAAGTATTACATGTCTTCATATATCTAGGTGAAAATAAATCAATAAATATTTATAGATTTTCATTGTTGGCAACAAAAAGGTCTCTTCCTTCACAAATTTTTTTAAAATAAAAAATTTATGCTGGGCGTGGTGGTGCATGCTTTTAATCCCAGCACTTGGGAGGCAGAGGCAGGTGGATCTCTGTGAGTTCAAGGCCAGCCTGGTCTACACAGGCCAGCTGGGGCTACAGGGAGACCCTGTCTCAAAAAGAAAAAAAATTTTTTTAATTATGTGTATGTATTTGGGTATATACACCTGAGTACAGGTATTCAGAAGCTAGAGGTTCCCTATGTGGGTGCTGGGAACTGAGCTTGGATCCTTTGCAAGAGCAGTGCAAGCTCTTAACTCCTGAGCCATCCTCCAGCTACCTCTTCAAGCATTTTAATAATATAGTTGGAACGCTAGCCAAAAATATTCCGAAAGAAAAAACCAAAATATCAAATATCTAAAAATTTCAAACATTTATTGCCTACCAAATGATAGAGTTTAAAAAGGAAGTTTTAAAAGGCAGGAAGAGATCATTTTGAGTACTTTAAAAGAACAAGGAGAAGAAATTTAAACTAGATCTGAAGGATGAATATCATTTAAATGCAGAAAAAACCAGAAAGGCCTACTATATATTAAAATACAAGAAAGATAATGCATATGGAGCCACGCATGGTGGCAGATACCTTTAATTCCAGCACTCAGGAGGCAGAGGTAGGTGGATCTCTGTGAGATCAAGGTCAGCCTGATCTACATAGCCAGTTCCAGGTTAGCTGGGGCTACAGGGAAACTGTTTCAAAGAACCAAAACCAAACCAACAAACAAAAGATCCAAACAACCAAGCCCCCTACCCCCAAACAAAACAAAAAGCTGGCTGGAAATTATAATTAAAAAAAAATTGCCATACTAATCAGGAAGAGAGAAAAATAAAAATTATGATTATCTTTTTTTTTAAAACATTTTTAAATTTTATTTCTTTCCATCCCACATGTGCCTGCATGTAGGCAAGTGCACCTGTGTTGTGCAATGACCGCGGAAGACAGAAGAAGCTGTTGGGTCCCCTGGACCTGCAGTTACGGACAGTTGTTAGCTGCCATGTGGATGCTGGGATTCGAACCCAGGTCTTCTGCAAGAACAGTCAAGTGTTCTTAACCACTGAGCCATCTCTCCAGTCCCCCCACGCCAAAATGTTAAAAAAAAAAATTATGACTATCAGAAATGGAAAGAGGACACCAATAGAGAGATTCTGGAGATATTATAAATTTGATAATCTAACTCAGAAGATACAGATTAGCTCAATAGCACTATTTTTATTTTTTTATTCTTATTTATTTATTTATTTATTTTTATTTTTTTGGTCTTTTTGAGAGAGGGTCTCCCTGTAGCTCCAGCTGTCCTGGAACTATGTAGACCAGGCTGGCCTTAAACTCACAGAGATCCCAAGTGCTGGGATTAAAGGCGTGCGCCACCACGCCCAGCCTGTGGCACTATTTTTATTAAAGGCATTAAATTTATAATTAAAAGTCCTTCCCACAAGCAGAAAAACTTAGAACACCAGGAAGAAAGAACAAAAGAAAGGGTAAATATTCAGGTGACTATAAATATAAAATTGACCAGGACAATTTTTTCCTATAAAGGACCAGAAAGTTTTAGGGTGTACTGGTTATATAATATGCATCATAATTATCCAACTCTGTTGTCATAGAGTGAAAGTTTGGTAGAGTGTAATGTAAAATTGTTAACACAAATGAGCATGGCTATGTTCTGGTAATACTGTGCTTATGGGCTCTGAAAAAACATTTTTTTTTCAGACAGGATCTCATGTAGTCCAGGCTGACCTCCCTATCTGAGGATGATCTTGAACTTCCTAATCTTCCTGCCTCCATCTCCTTCATACTGGGATTAGACATGGTATGCAGTGTTAGGGATCAGACCCAGGGCCTCATGTACACTAGGCAGACACTATGCCAACTAAGCTAAAACCACAGACTCACGTATGTCATTAAACAGTCTTTAAAATTTAATAATTAAAAATAACAAGATAGGGTTGGAGAGATGGTTCAGCAGTTAATACACTGATTACTCTTGCAGAGCACCTGGTTCAATTACCAGCACCCACATGGCATCTAACAACCATCTGTAACTCCAGTGCCAGGGGACCTGACACCTTCTGATCTCCATGGACACTGCACAACACAGGTGCACTTACTTACATGCAAGCAATACACTCGTACACACAAAATAAAAAATTTTTAAATTAGCAAAATAAACGTAGAAAAGAGCAAAAGGAAATAATAAATGTTATGTTTAGTATAGACATAACCAATATAGAACTAAATGCACAGTTCACATCAACAACAGTATAATATTAAAAAAATTTTTTTTTCTATCCCAAATGGGTTGACTTCATAGATGTAGAAACTCATGGACAGGGAGAGCCAGCTACATGTTTTATGGGCTTTTTAAAAAAAATTTTATTTTTTTCTTTCGGTCTTTTTGAGATAGGGTCTCCCTGTAGCCCCAGCTGTCCTGGAACTCGCTATGTAGACCAGGCTGGCCTTGAACTCACAGAGATCTGCCTGCCTCTGCCTCCCAAGTGCTGGGATTAAAGGCATGCACCACCATGCCCAGCTAAATTTTTATTTTATGTGTATGAGTGTTCTGCCTGGATGTATATAAGGGAACCCTACTGTGCAATACTTGTGGAGCCCAGAAGAGGATGCTGGTTCCCCAAAATGAGTCACAGACTATTGTGAGCCTCCATGTAGGTGCTAGAAACTGAACCCAGGTCCTCCACAAGAGCAGCCAGTGCTCTTAATCACGGAGCCAACTCTCCAGTCCCCAGCTATATGTTTTATATACATTTTCATCCAATCTGAGCTTTGACCTCAAATTTTTGCAGCTATGTCATTTAGAAAGGACTTTGTAATTGAAGTTGAATTCATTGATTTCTTTTTATACTCCTGATTTTATATACTTCTATTTTTTATATACCTTCTATGTATCTATATTTCCCCCATCGGTTTCCAACTATTTCACATAGATACTAACATTCAGTGTAGTCATTCTTTTTAATATTAGGCATTGTAATAGGTGTACTATAGTATGTGGCTGTGGTGTTCAATTTCATTTCCTCAGTGCCTAAATTGACTGTGGAAATAATTTCACAGTATATACATATGCTAAAAGTAATTAAATTATTATAGTTTAGATATGGAGATTATGTACATTAAAGTTATCAAGGGATACTGAGTATTGAACTTTACAGAACCCTAACATTTAAGGGTTAAAAAAAAAAGGTTACTAATAAAAAAAGGAAAAAACTGATCACAAGCTGGATAAGAAACAAACTATTACATTTCTCAGAGGACCTTCTAAAAGTTTCAGAGATGTTCCAACAGTGTCAAATGACAGAATTTAACAAAATTGGTTGCTAAAAAAAAGGGTAATGAATTTAGACACTGGAGATACATAATAAAAAGAGCCAATTAAGAAGTCAGTGATGAAGAAAGATAGCATTAATTTGATAAGATCAAACCCAGAACCTTAAGCATTCAAGGCAAGATCTCTATCACTGAGCTATATTACAGTCCTCATTTGAGTTATGTTAAAGAGAATGCCGATGCAAAATGAAGTTCCACTCCTTAGTTAAATGTTCCCTTACTTTTTTACAACCAGACAATATTTAAACGGATTTATATGCCTTATTGTCATAAAGATAATACATTAAAGTCTATTACATCACTATAGGTTTTGTTTTTCTTTTTCCAATTTTTTCATGTGCATATATGGTATACATGTTTTGCATGTGCATGGCTACATGTGTGTGCATGCATGGGGAGACCAGAAGCTGATATTGATCTTCTACCTTATTCATCGAGGAGGGGTCTCTCAATCAAACCCAGAGCTCACCAACATGGCTAATCTTGCTACCACTTTGCTCTGGGGATCCCAGCTCTGCTTTCTAAGGCTGAAATTACAAGTAGGCTGGCATTTATATGAGTTCTGAGGACCTGAACTTTGATCCTCATGTCTGAATGGAAAGCACTTTAACCACTGAGCCATTTCCCCAGCCTCATAAGTTTTGTTTTGTTTTTTTTTTTCTCCCTAGGACTGAATCATTATGATATTTAAAAGGAAATATTCCAAGGACTTTATTCATCTTTTTGAAGTACAGTACCTAAGAAGTGACTGATGGGAGAAGATGCTCGGGTAACAACTCTATTGAGGACTTGCTCCAGAATTTCTTGTCTGATCATCTCATGGATCTAAAAAGAACAGAATTCTGAGTGATTTTCAGCTTATAAGGTTATCAGGTATATTAGGCAGAGTAAAATCTTAACTAGTATCTTCTCAGTGCCAAGAAGCAGAGTACTTGCCTTACAAGGGAGAAAAAAAAAAAGACCCATTTTGAAATTTTACTTAAATTTTAGTAAAATTCTTGACTTTGGTTACCTTGAGAAAAAGACTAATTTTTTTAGACTCAGATTGTTAGTGATTTAACAGAGATTATATGCTCTATGTATGTTTTGATAATGCTAACATTTATGAAATCAAATGGAACATCTGTTGTTTTAAAAAATAAGAATTTACAATAAAAACTTATCCTAAGAATGTTCTTAACTATACTTCTGTTAAAAAGAGAGTCATCAGCCCTGGTACTCTTGCAGAGGACCCAGGTTTGATTCCCAGTACCCACATGGTAACATAACAACCGCTGTAAACTCCAGTTCCAGAGGATTTCAACACCCTCTTTTGACCTCCACAGGTGTTGCATGACATGGGTGCACTTACATACAAGCAAGCAATACACTCATACACATAATATAAAAATAATGAAATATTTTAAAAAGTCATTTATATGGCCAAATATAACTCAAAGACTATTTCATATTACTTCATAGTTCTTTTTTTTTCTTTTTCTTTTTTAATCTTTTGAGACAAGTCTCCCCTGTATTTAGCCCCAGCTGACCTGGAACTCACTATGTAGGCCAGGCTGGCCTCGAACTCACAGAGACCCGCCAGTCTTAGCCTCCCAGCACTGGGATTAAAGGTGTGCACCACCACACCCAGCCCCAAGCCTAGCTTTTTAAATTACCCTTTTAATATTGTTATTTAACATAACTATGCATTAGAAATGTATGCCAAAAATATTATTTGGAGATAATATAAATATGAACTTGGTGTTTAATCAAGAACTGTGGCTGGGTATGATGGTGCATGCCTTTAATCCCAGCACTCGGGAGGCAGAGGCAGGCAGATCTCTGTGATTTCAAGGCCAGCCTGGTCTACATAGGGAGTTCAGACCAGCTGGGCTAACAGGGAGATCTTGTCTCAAAAAGACAAAGACAAAAAAAAAAGAAGCTAGGTTTGGCAGCATATGTGTATAATTCCATAATCCCAGTACTTGAGAAGTGGAAAGTTCTAGGCCAGCCTGGTCCATAATAAGACCCTGTCTCAAAAAAAGGAATGACTTAGAGGAATCACTAGCCAAGTTCTTTGGCATAAGATATGACCTTTTTTTTTTTAACAGAAAAATTCATTTTTAATGCAATTGACATTAAGATGTTTGCACATGCATTTCTAATCTCCATATATCTGATTATTACTAGTCACAGTTGGTTACTTTCTGAGCTCCTTGGCATCTGAGCATGGATATAAAGTCATCAGGTAGATTTCAATGGCAATATTTTTCACATCTACTAATTATTAAGGAGCAAATTTTTATGCTTTGAAGATTATTTTTTAAGCATTTTAAAAAAAACTTTTAATAACTACATGATTAGAAGCATTTCACTACAGCTTTAACATATTCAGTAACACACTCCAGAGCAAGAGTACATCTCTTTCACAAGTGGCTGCAAGTTTCTAGGTTCACAGTTGAATTAATACAGTTATACAATATTGAACTCAGTATAAGCCCTGTAAGACATAAAACTGAATCATTTTTTAACCTTTAGAAAAGATCTCCACTTCATTTTAGAATATATTGTTCCTTGCAGAAAGATATGACCTTTTTAAAAAAAAAAACTCTGAAAGGCATTTTTTTTTGAGACAGGGTCTCCCCTGCAGCCTAGGAGGTGTAGAACTCACTATGTAGATCTGCCGCTCTAGTTCTGGGAATAAAAGCATGCACAGCCACACCCAGTTGAAAGGAAATGCAATTGTGATACCTGTTTCAGAAATCAGGATCAAAAGCCACGTGTGGTGGTATAATCCTAGAACTATGACTAAGAAAGGAAAACGTCAGTCTGAGGACAGTCTGCACTACAAAACCAACCAACCAAAAAAAGCATTGAGACAACAGTTATAGTTTGATGGCGGGTAAAAAAGTGTCTAATTCCTATTTGAGTCATTAAAACATAACTGAATAGGCTTAATTCTTCAAGCTTGATGTTCTACAATGACCTAAAAGACTGTGTTTTAGAGACTGGGGATGTTCAATAATGAGAGACTTGCCTACCATGCGTAAGACTCTAGGTTCAAGTCTTAGTACCAACTTCCCAACCTGTGTAAGAACACAGCATTAAAACAAAACAAAAATAAATATAATTTACTTTTTGTGATGGTTATTCTTTTTTTTTAAAGATTTACTATTTTTGTTTTATGCATATGAATGTTTTGTCTATGTGTATGAGATGCACCATGTGCATGCCTGGAATCCATGGAGACCAGAAGAGAGCATCAGATCCCCCTGGAATTTGAGTTACAGACAGTTGTGAGTCACCATGTGGGTGCTGGGAACCAAACCTGGGTCCTCTGCAAAAGTAGCCACTGCTCTTAAGCACTAAGTCACATCCTTCTAGCCCTATAATGATTATTCTTGATCATCACTTGATTATATTAGATTAGTAAGAACATCTCTGGGTGGGAGAGCAATTAAGGGGAGACAGACCACCTTGCATGTAGGTAGAACTATACAGTAGGCTCAGGGCTCAGATGGAAGAAAAGGGAAAGAAGCCAGTTAGTGTAGGCTTGCACATTTTCTTTGCCTCTCTGTGAGCTGTTTCTCTGTCTTTCTTGAATGGTCTCTGTGTCCATGTGTCCACTTGTCCATCTATCTCTCCATTTTCCAGCCTCCATGAGGTAAGAAGCCTCCTTTGGCATGCTCCCGCTGCCATGAATGATATCCTGCCTCACACAGGCCCAAAGCAATGAAGCCAGTCAACCTTGACTGAAAGCTTGGAAATTATGAGCCAAAATAAATCCTTTTTAAAATATGTTTCTCTCACGTATTTGTCAGAGATGAAAAGCTAACACTGTTTGCTGGAGGAAGAGAAAAATCTATCTTTCATTCAAACTTCTAAGAAATGGTCAGAAAAAAAACCCAAATAAGTTTTTTTGGTTTTTAAAAAATTTTTATTTACTTAGTGCGTAAGTGCACCCATGTCATGCAGCACCTGTGGAGGACAGAAGAGGGTGCCAGATCCCCTGGAACTGGAGTTATGGGCAGCTGTTAGCCACCATGTGGGTGCTGGGATTTGAATCCAGGTCTTCTGCAAGAACAGTCAGTGTTCTTAACTGCTGAGCCATCTCTCCAGCCCCAAGAATAAGTTTAAGAAGGGGAACTTTTATATAAAGATTGAGGCTGAGAGATAGCTCAGAGGGTGAAAGCCAGCACACACATGAAAAGCCAGGCATGGCTGCAAGTGCATGTAAGTAACTCCAGCAAGAGGAGATGAGGGACCAAAGACAGTCTGATCCCAAGTGCTCGTTGTTCAGCCAGTCTAGCTGAAAGGCAAGCTTCGAATTTGGTGAGAAATCCTAAGTGATACAGGAAGACACCCAATGTCCTGCTCTGGCTCTGCATGCATGTGCATATGAGGAAGTGCACACACACACTCATGCATACACCTCCTCCTCCCTCCCCACACAAATAAAAAGAAATAATAAAAAGAAAGAAAGGAGAGTTCTCATGGACCTGGACCTGTAATGCTTTAGTACCATCCGAAGCTGTCGGTACAGATGGTCAATTGTCAAGCTAGCATTACTCAGATTCCCTACTGGCCAAGCTCCCAGGCAATGCCTTGCTCTATTTGTTCTGTTTAAACAAAATCAAGGAATGGTAGCCAAACTAGACTCTCACCTTAAAAGTTTCCAATAGAATGTTAGCTCCCAGCTTACATGCATGCTGGTTTGTCATTTTAGAAAGACTAAAACCAATTTCAACAGCTTTTCCATCAAGAATCTTCTTTGGCCCATATGAATCCATTAAAATGAAACCAAGTTCTACCAGGCCTTGAGTTACATGGTCCCAACTATGAACACTGCAAGGAAACAAAGTTTAGTTAAAAGAAAATCTTAGTAAAATACCTACTTTCATATTCTCCATGTTACACATTTCATAACTCAAATAACATACTTCATGTATGAACTTTTTCTTCTCATGCATTGTTATTTGACAGAATTATCGATACAGCAATGGGAATGGTAGGCAAGTGGCCTTCAAGGACAAACAGAATACTGAGACAAACCCAGAAATTATGGGCTAGGGATGTAGACGAGTGGTAGAATGCTAATCTAGCATGAACAAGGCCCTGGGTTCAATCCTTCGTCAAAAATCAAAGTACCCAGGGGGCTAGAGCAATGGCTCAGCAGTTAAGAACACTGGCTGCTCCTGCAGAGGACCAGGGTTTGGTCCCAACACCCCCATGGCAGCTAACAACTGTCCCTAACTCTGCTTCCAGGGGATGCAACAACCTCTTCTGGCCTCCATGGGTATTGCATGACAATGGTGTACTTACATGAATACTCATGCACAAAATAAAAATAAATCAATAATAGTAAAAGTACCCAAAATACCTTAAAAAATCAAAAATCATAAAATACTAGAAAATATATTTTAAAAAACTTGCAGTATTTCAATGCAATGATCATTTTGAGATTTCCACTCAAGATGCCATGGTCAGACCCCTAGCAGCTACATAAAAGCTGAGAATAGTGGTACACACCTGTAACCCAAGTACTGGTGGGGAACAGAGGCAGGTGGATCCCTAAAGCTCATTGGCTGGCTTGCCCAGCTAAATCAATGAACTTTAGATTCAGTGAATTATCCTATCTCAAGAGCTTACAGTGAGGAGAAATTGATGAAAGATCAATATTGAACTCTGGCATCCACATTCACATGCCTATGAGTACACACCCTCACTAACAAATACATATATCACACAAAACACCACCACACCCCAACACACACAAGTAACACTTCCCTGAGAAAGAGGCACCAAGAGAAAGAGGCACCAATCTCAACAGAGACAATACTTGAGGTTAGCAACAAACTTGTGGGGTGGGAGGGGCACAGAGATCCTGAGTGAGGATCAAAGCCAAAGCATCATGCAATCTAAGCAAGTGCTCTACCCATGAGCTAACCCCGAGTCTGGCAAAAAGTTAACAGAATAAATAGGAGATTTTAAAGTCTAATGAAAGTTTTCAAACAGCATATTATAAGACAGTTAATTTAAAAAAAGAAAAAAAAAAAAAAAAAAAAAAAAAAGGACCAGACCTAGAGTTGGGGAAGTAGCTCAGGAGCCAAGCAAGCATTTGCCTAGCATGTACAAGGTTCTGGGTTTCAGCAGCAGCACTGAGAAAAAAAAGGCCAACTGGAAATTCTGGAAATAACATGATTGCTGAAGTAAAAAACACAACAGAATAATTTCAGAGTGAGACAGAGTTGACAGTCTTGTATTGTCTTTTGCATCTGTGTATGTTGTACTCCAATGTGTGTGTGTGTATATGAGATGTGCGCTTATGTCATGTCTCTGGCATCCAGGGTCTTCTTTGATCCCTCTCCATTGGGTCTTGTGCTAAACCTGGAGCTCGCCACTTTGGCTAGTCTGGCTAAGTCAGCTTGTTCTGGGGACTCCCTGACCCCACCTCCTGTGCTAGCTTACAACTTATGTGGGTTCTGGGATTCAAACTCTGGTCCTAACACTTGCATGGCAAGCACTTTACCCAATGACTTATCTCTCTAGTCTCACAGTTGACAATGAGAAGATTTCAGGATTACATAGAACTTTGCACAAAAAGATAAAAATACTAAAAAAAAATTTAAATATATTGCAGAGATCATGGAATTTCAACATTTATTAAGTGAGAACAGAAGAGAGAAAATGTTGTGCATGTTATGTGTACATGGGGCAGTGCATGTGGAGGGCAGAGGTCAACTTCAGGTATCTTCTTAATTACCTTATTATTTAAAATTTTCAATTTCAATTTCATCTTTATTGCTTTTGCTTTTTTTTTTTTTTTTAGATAGGGTCTCCCTGTAGCCCCCTCCGCACTAGCTAGCCTGGAACTTGCTATGCAGACAAGGCTGGCTTTATCTCATGGAGATCCACCTGCCCCTGCCTCCCAAGTGCAGAGATTAAAGGCATCCACCATCACACCGGGCATTATTTCCTTTTTTTTCTTCAATCTTTTTGAGACAGGGTCTCTCTGTAGCCCCAGCTGTCCTGGAACTCACTATGTAGACCAGGCTGGCCTTGAACTCACAGAGATCCACTTGCCTCTGCCTCCCAAGTGCTGGGATTAAAGGCGTGCGCCACCATGCCCGACTAGTTCCTTATTTTTAAAAGGGGATCTCTCACCAAACCTGGACCTCACAGATGCAGCTAGATTGGCTGGCCAACAAGCCCCAGGGATCCTCCTGTCTCCATCTCCCCAGCACTGGGATTATAGGTACATGTCATAATGCTGGCTTTTTACATGGTTACTAGAGATCCAAACTCAGGTCCTTGTGTGCACATGGCCAACACTTTACTAACTAAGCCATCTCCCCAATGCTACAGAACAAGAATACTGTAACATTTAGGAAAGACATAAATTATTACAATATGAGAATATACCCCAAGTATCAAGCAGGCTGAAAAAGGAAGTTACATGAACATAATCTATTAAATTTCAGAAGAACAAAGATTAAACAGAAAGTTGTAAAACTTTCTATGAAGAAAAAAAAGATTATCTACAATAATATAAAAAAGATAATCAGACTTTTCTAGATGAAAAAGACAATGAAAAACAATTATGAACTTATAGTCAGGCGTGGTGGCTCTTGCCTTTAATCCCAGCACTTGGGAGGCAGAAGTAAGTCAGATTTCTGTGAGTTCTAGGCCAGATGAGGCTAGAGGGAGATCCCGTCTCAAAAAGAAAAAAAAGAAAAAAAAAAAAAGAATTTATAATTTTATACTTGATGAAGCTATTCTTCAACTGTGAGAGCTACATAAAAATTCCAGACATCAAATGACTCAAAGTTGGGGTTGAGGTAGTTCAGTGGCAGTGTCCTTATCTAACAAATGCAAGGCCCTGGGCTTGGTGCTCAGCTCCAGAAAACAAAACAAAGCAAAAAGATAAATGACTCAGTTTATTATCCACAAAGTATAACAGAAAAAAATTACTGCAAAAAGTATGCATTTCTAGTATACTTCCAAGAGAAAGAAATGTGGTCCAAAAAATAGTAGTGAACAAAGAAATTGGTAAAACTTATTATGAAGTCCAAATAAGTATTGTTTAACCGTTTTAACAAAGACGTGCCAAGGAGGAAGAGGAAGGCGAAGTACAGCTCAGTGGTACGGCACTTGCCTAGCATACATAAAGTCCTGGGCTTAATCTCCATCACTGCAAACAAACAAACAAACAAATAAATGAGAGAAAAAGATAGGAAGAAAGGAAAGGACAGAGGGAGGGAAGAGAGTTAAAAGTGCTTTCTAGGATTCTGACCACTGAGGAGGACATGGAAGCAGAAAATGTTTCTGGCTTGTAGATGATTTTTTTCTCTAGTACATTAATGCTTTGCATTTCAAAATGCCATAGGGAAACAAACAGCACGTTAACATTGCTGAATATAGCAAACCATGGAAGGATACACTTCTGTTCTGGAGGCTTGTTACTTCATTTTCCTTCCTCTCAGCTTGGGTAGCAAACATAAATCAGTATGTTTTGGGTTTTTCTTTAATATTAAAAAAAATTTTTTTAGAAGAATTTCATTAAACTTTAACATAGTAACAGTTATCTCTTTCAAAAGTGGCTATAAAAGTTTTAGGTTCGCTGTTGAATTAATAGTTATACAATATTGAACTCAGTATAAGCCCTGTAGGCCATAAAATTATGTTTTGACTAGGGATTTCAGTCCATTAATATTTAAAGTTATTAATGAAAGATGAGTATTGAATCCTGTCATTTTTATTTCTATTTACATTCGTGATGTAGCTGTACTTTTCCACAGTCATACCTTCACTGAATTTCTTTCTGCAACCCCTTGGGTATAGTCATTCCTTTCTTAAGTTCTCTGTATTGCTTCCAGAACTCTCTGAAGGGCTTGGTTTTGTGGACATGAATTCCTTCAGCCTGTTTATGTCATGGAAGATTTTTCTTTCCCCTTTGACTATAATAGACATTTTGGCTGGGTATAGTAATCATTTTTCTTTCCCCTTCAACTATAATAGACATTTTTGTTGGGTATAGTAATCTGGATTGGCATCTGTGGTCATTTAAAACTGGGAATACTTTGGTCCACGCTCTTCTGGCTTTCATAGTTTTCACTGAAATGTCAGCTGTAATCCTAGTAGATTTTCCTTTATATGTGACTTGTTTTTTCTCTTTTGCAGCTTTCAGTATTGTCCAGACTCCCTCCCACTAGAGAGAGCCGTGGAGAGTTTCTTTTCTGGTCCTATCTGTTTGGTGTTCTATATGCTTCTTGTATTTGTATGGGCATGTCTTTCTTTAATTGGGAAATTTTCTTTCACAGTTCTATTGAAGATCTGGTTCATGCCATTATCTCCTTCCTGTATACCTATGATTTGTAAGTTTGGTCTTTTTATAGTATCACACAATTCCTGCATATTCCATTCTTGTGATTTCTTAAATTTTTCATAATCTTTGCTTGAGTGGTCTAGTTCGTCTACTTTATCTTCCAGTCTTGATATTCTGTTTTCCATTTCATTCATCCTATTGGTGAGGCTTTCTCCTGTCATTTCTAATTGGCTTACTAAGTGTTTCACTTCTTTCTTCATTTCAGCCTGAGTATTCTTCAATATTTCTTGCTCTTTTCTGAATTCATTCAGAAGTTTATCCCTATTTCCCTTCAGTTCTTTTATTCCTTTTTTTGTGTGTTCTTTAAAGTCACTGGATTCGTTTATCATGTTTATAATTGTTCTTTTGAGTTCCATGTCCTGCATTATGTTCTTTGTTTTGTGTGTTCTTTAAATTCACTGAATTCCTTTAAATTCACTGAATTCTTTTATCATGTTTATAATTGTTCTTTTGAGTTCCATGTCCTGCTTTATCTCTAGGGGGCTCTCACTGTACTCCTCTAGAGGACTATTGGTATTTAGTGGGGATACGTTATTTTGGTTTTTCATGTTATTATTTTTTCTCTGTGATTTTGACATGTGAATCTCTTTTGTAGTTTCTGATTCTTGTGAGAGACTCAAGCCTTCAAGTTTAGGTCTGCTTCTTTGTGAAAACTTTATGTGTCTTTGTGGTTTACTATTTGGGCATGAAAATCTGGTTCCTCTAAGCTTCTGGTTCTCTCTTTTGATTTTATATTGGAGTGGCCAGATTGCTTTTGTCTTCAGGGGTTCCCACAGGGGCCCAAGTCAGATGAGGATCAGATGCTCTCAGGCTTTCTCCTAAGGTCTGGATCCCTCCAGGAAAGATGTTGTCCTTAGGAATTTGGACTGGCCTGGGAGCAGGGCCCAGGAAAGATGCTGGTCTCAGGCAGCTTGTGGCCTTGCCACCCAGAGAAGGGGAGGAGATGGGGGCAGGAAGAGGCCCCAAGGGCTCCCAGGGACTGCAGGGAGAAACTGGGTTGGTCTGGATGCAAAGGATCAGGAAGCTGAGAGGTCAGCCCCAGTGTCCGGGAAAGAGGCTGGTGGGTTGTGCAGCTCATGGAAGCAGAGAGGGAGGTGAGGGTGGGACCAGGCCCAGAGGGCTCCTGGGGACTGCGAGAAGGAACTGGGTTGGTCTGGATGCAAAGGATCAGGAAGCAGTGGTGGTTCCCCTGGTGTCTGGGGTGCCAAGACAAGGAATGGGACAGTACCCAGGCTAGGAAAAGAGATGGATGGGGGAGGTGGGAGGGTGAATGAGGCTGAGGGAGTCAAGGCAGGGAGGGCACGATGGATTTACCCAGGAGAGAGGCTGGCGGGTTGTGCAGGCCCAGGGAAGCAGAAGGAGGTGAGGGCAGGACCAGGCCCAGAGGGCTCCTGGGGACTGCGAGAAGGAACTGGGTTGGTCTGGATGCAAAGGATCAGGAAGCAGTGGTGGTTCCCCTGGTGTCTGGGGTGCCAAGACAAGGAATGGGACAGTACCCAGGCTAGGAAAAGAGATGGATGGGGGAGGTGGGAGGGTGAATGAGGCTGAGGGAGTCAAGGCAGGGAGGGCACGATGGATTTACCCAGGAGAGAGGCTGGCGGGTTGTGCAGGCCCAGGGAAGCAGAAGGAGGTGAGGGCAGGACCAGGCCCAGAGGGCTCCTGGGAATCATGAGAAGGAACTGGGTTAGTCTGGATGCAAGGGATCAGGAAGCAGTGATGGATCCAGGCTTAGAGGTCAGCCCTGGTGTCCAGGAAAAGAGGCTGGCCGATTGTGCAGCCCAGGGAAGCAGAGCAAATCAGTACCTTTGAAGTGTTTATTATGCTGTTCTTACCATTATTTACATATTTTGCTCCTTCTCCATAATTCAGCAGTATTGAAACACCCTTTCCAAATTACTTCAACTTGTTGCTCAAGGTAAGGGTCAACAATTTTAATATGTAAAGAATATAAACTATATTAGTGCTCAGAGTATAAAGTCAAATATATTTTAATTTTGTTCTGTCTTATTTTTGCCATAGGTTCCTACAGTAAAACTTTCTAGAATAGTTTTTTTTGGGGAATACATTCTGTTAGAGAAGAAATACCTATACCTATTAAGTCTAGACAGTATAGATAAGTCTAAGTTTAAACATAAGAAAATACTACCAAAATATGATAAGTTGTGGGTCCAAAACTTTGATCACATAATATGCATGCTATGTCATTTTGAGGTTAATTAATTCACTAGGGAAAGCATGTATAAGTAACCAGAAAATTACTGGGCCTGAAGGAGTTCTAATGTTTCCCAAATCTTTCCTCACTGAAGTCTGATTTCATCTGGTAGCAAAATCCACTCTACTAGATTATAGAGATGCTTCTAGCTCTCATGGCTGGTTGAGACTTCCAGATGGGCAGCTTTCCAGGAACCTCCTGGTTATATACTGACTGATTTTTTAACTCGAGTTGGAGAGATTTAGTTGGGAGAATACTGGAGAGACAAGTGTAAACCTTAGGAAATAGAAAAACAGATACAGCCTGGAATGGTGGTTCCTGCCTGAACTAATAAGGCTGAGGCAAGAGGATCACCACAAGTTTGAAGCTAGCCTTGTTTCCATAGCAAGTTCCAAGAAAGCCAGGGGTAGATAGTGAGACCCTGTCTCAAACACACTAATTAAGTAACCAACCACCAGACATAGAACAGAGGGAGTTTTAAAAAGCCTATAAGGGGCAAAACACTCAGAAACAGTAAGTTCCAGTTTCAAATTTGTCCTAAGTGCTGAGCTCAGATCTCAATCTAAATCAGAATTGCAGTACATGAAAAAGCCTACCTTAAAGTATGGCTTTAATAAAAACTTTATATTTCTTTTTGCAAAGATGGTGCTGAAGGCAAAGAAGGAAGCTCCTGCCCCTCCCAAAGCCAAAGTTGAAGGCAAAGTGAAAGGCACTGAAAGCCAAGATGGCAGTGTTGAAAGGCATCCACAGCCACAAAAAGAAGAGCCATGTGTCACCCACCTTCTGGTGGCATAAGACCCTGAGGCTCAGGAGTCAGCCCAAATACCCTCGAAAGAACACCCCCAGGAGAAACAAGCTTGACCGCTATGTCATTATCAAGCTCCCCCTGACCACTGAGTCAGCCATGAAGAAGATAGAAGGCAACAGCACATATGTTTTCAACTGTGGATGCCAAGGCCAACAAGCACCAGATCAAACAGGCTGTGAAGAAACTCTATAACACTGACATGACCAAAGTCAATACACCGATCAGATCTCACGGAGAGAAGAAGGCCTCTGTTCAGCTGGCTCCTGATTACAATGCTTTGGATATTGCCAACAAAATTGTGATTATCTAAGCAGTCCAGTTGGCTAATTTTAAATACAGATTTTTTTTAAACCATTAAAAAAATCACTTTATATTTAACCCACAGACAAGTAAAGTATGGCATAATAAAGACTATTACAATTGCTAATATTTATCCTCAAATTGAAATAAATACCAGGACAGTTACTAGCATTTTCCATGTAGTTTTAAATAGATTTGTCTAAAACTGCTAGGCAATAATTCAATTCCAACTTAGTCCCAGACTTTAACAGTCAAAGTAAATAAAACTTAGTATTTTTTACTCACTTAATAAGACGTCAGTAAAGACTCAGGTCAATAATTGAGTTGCAATATTAAGAAAAAAACAATCCAAAGACACCTACTTCACTTATATATTCTTGCAACACAAGTAGCCAAGAAATCAGGCTCTGAGATTGAAGGTCTTTCTTGACTGATTTTAAGGGATTAAACCTTGATATTAGGAAGTCATAAGCTATAGTCATCAGTTTTCTTTGATTGGCTGTGAGTACGGGACCCACACAGCATTTTCTAGCATAAGATCCCTCATAAACTTCTGGAATATGGTTCATCAACTCACCTATTCTTTACCACATCCAAGATCATGGTTGAAATACAAGCTCTCTGAGGGACTAGATTCTGCAAAAATTTTGAGCCTTGGAGGAGCTGAAGATCTTTAAAGCTTTTAATGACCGAAGTCTTTAAAAGATCAAACACCTAGTATAATCAAAGAAGAACAAAAATGAAGCCAAAATTATAGTGTATGATATGACATTTAAACCCATAACTAGTCTTTTGTATGACCATTCATATTAACCCTATAATAACTGTTTAAATAGATACAGATGATACGAAAGTTGTGAGTTTTAGTGGGAATTTAAGAGTTGAAGACAGACATTCCTTGATGAGAACAGGGGCTAAAAATCAATATAAACATTACCCATGCCACGTCTGATGGTGCATGCCTACTAATCCCAGCTACTCAGGAGGCTGAGGCAAGAGAACACAAGTTTAAGACCAGCCTGGACAACTTAGGTCCTTTAAAAAAATAATTTCTGCAGGGCGTGGTGGCTCACACCTTTTAATCCCAGCACTCAGGAGGCAGAGGCAAGTGGACCTCTGTGAGTTCAAGGCTAGCCTGGTCTACATAGCAAGCTCCCGGCCAGTTGAGGCTATAGGGAGATCCTGTCTCAAAAAAAACAATAATAATAATAATAATAATAATAATAATAATAATAATAATAATTTCTTAGAGTTGGAGAGATGGCTCAGCAGTTAAGAGTACTGGCTGCTCTTGTAGAAGACTTGGGTTCAAATCCCAGCACCCACATGGTAGATTATAACCATCTGTAACTCCAGTCCCAAGGGATTTGATGCTCTCTTCTGGCCTCCACAGCAGACATTGCATGCATTTGGTGCATTTACATACATGCAGGCAAAATACTCATACACATAAAAATTAAATTAAAGAAATAAAAAATAATTTAATGTTTGTTTTGTATGTGTCTGTATGTGTGGCCATGCCACATATGCAGAAGCTGGAGTACAACTGGAGAGCGGCAGTTCTCTCTACCATGTGGGATTTAACTCAGGTCATCGGACATGGCAGCAAGTGTTTTTCACCCACCAAGCTATCTTACCAGCTCCCTTGTCTCAAATTTTAAAAAATCAACAGGAGTGACAGTATAGCTCAGTGTTCAGCCACCTTCCTAGTAAGTGTGAGATGTTATCAAGGCTTAGCAGCACAAAACAAACCAAAAGTGAGAAGACCAAAAAAAAAAAAAAAAAAAATTATATCTATCTCTGAATCCTGGAACACATGAGAAAACAAGAGCAAGGATTTTTATATTTTCATCCTTGCAACTAACTATTCCCATTAATTTCAACGCATTAATCATCAGGGGCCATTTCTTGGAAGCTACAACATAAAACTGATGATCAACAGCTAACTTGATTTACTTTCTTGCTCTTTGGGTCATGCAACCTTGTTCTAGCTCATTCCCACCTTACCTTCTGACTCACTCAACAACAGGAAATGGAGCTATACACCAAGAATCTGAGTAAGTTTTCCAGCAGCCTAAAACAGTGGTCTTTGTTGCTAACAGGATGGGGGTGGAACTAAGATACTACCAAAAACCATGTTCTTGTATGCTTTCTTATCAACTACAGAAGGAACCAAACTGTCACTTAAAATAAATTAATAAATACCTGTTCCTCAAATCTTTGTATTCTTGTTACAGAGAGAAGAAGAGCAATACTGAAAGGACAAAAGTATTTATTGCAGTCTCCTTGCTGTCTGGCCTAGAATAGATAAAGCAAGAGAGTCGTTACATTTTAAAAGTACAAGCTAGCGTGCCTAAAAACAAGTTCTTTAATAGACCTGAAACCTAAATAACGAAAAAAACTGTAAAGCTTTTGGAATACAGAGAAAATTGTTATAACTAGGAATAGATTTCTTAGGTATAATAGTCAAAGCATAACTTAAATAGGAAAATTGATTTTAAAATGTTCAAAAGATTGGAAGACATTTCACCAAACATTATAACAGCTAATGAGCATATGAAAAAGTACTCACCACCAGTCATTAAGAAATACAAAGTAAAAGCTCAATGAGATACCCTTTCACACTCATCAGAGTGGGAACAATAGAAAAGACAGAGAACAGTAACAAATGTCAACCAAGATGTCAAAAACAGGAGCATCATACAGTGAAGACAGGAATAGAAAATATTGTAGCTACTTTGGAAAACTTTGGTAGTCAGTTAAAAACCTAAGTATAAATGTATCACATAGCCAGACGTGGTGGTGCACACCTATAGTCCTAGCATTTGGCAGGTAAAGGCAGGAGGATTAGGAGTTTGAGGTCAACCTTGGTTACATAGGGAGTTCAAGTCTAACCTAAGGTTCATGAGATTCCATTTCAAAAAGAAAAAAAAAAAAGATAAAACTGTTTCTTTAAAAAAAAGCAATAAAAGGGGCTGGAGAGATGGCTCAGTAGTTAAGAGCCCTGACTGCTCTTGCAGAGGATCCGGGTTCTACTCCCAGCACCCACATGGCGGCTATTAACCATCCTTAACTCCAGTTCCAGAGGAATCCGAAGCTCTCTTCTGACCTCCACGGCATTGCACAACATGGGTGCAGTCACATGCATGCAGGCAATACTTATAAAATGAAAATAATAAATACAAATATTTTTAAAAAGCTGGGCGTGGTGGCGCATGCCCTTAATCCCAGCACTTGGGAGGCAGAGGCAGGTGAATCTCTTGTGAGTTCAAGGCCAGCCTGGTCTACATAGTGAGTTCCAGGACAGCTGGGGCTATAGGGAGACCCTGTCCACAAAAAAAAAAAAAAAAAAAAAAAAACCATACAAACAAAAATAAGAATGAACAGTAAACACAGATGAGATGAGGAATGAACTTTAACACCTAACTTACAGATCATGGTCTTTCTCACACAATGGACCCAGGCCTTTTAGAGGAAATGGCTGGTATTAGGTTATGTCAAGATAAACCTTGACTATCTTGTGCTCAAAGACTGATGGAGTCACATCAAAAGGACACATAAATCATCATGAAAGATCCAAAAAGCCAAACTTAGGTAATTTTGAGTTCAAAACATATGACTGTTAGTGAACAACAACCTGTTGAAAAGTTTTACTGATACATTAATAATATTCAAAACAGTGAGGAAAGAGGAAGCTTGTATAGAAGAATGCTGGCTAATAATAATTAACAGAATAAATGAAATAATCAAAATTTCTAATTTTGATTGAGGCAGGAGTACTACCTACTTCAAGGCTGAACCACACAGCAAGTATCAGTCTAGTTAAGACTACATATCAAGACCTAGCCCCCCCCCAAATAAAAAACAAAGCAAGAATTCTCATTTTAATTCTATTATTTTATAATTCCAGTTTAATTACTGACTTAGGCTAACAATCATTAATATGGGGAAAAATAATTATGTGATTGGAGAAAATGATTTTCACATGTACCAAAATTATGATTCATATGCTGTTTTTAATTAAAGAAGGGAATGTGTAGGCAGCCAGGTGTGGTGGTGCTCGGGAAGAAGAGACAGGAGAACTCTGTGAGTTCAAAACCAGCCTGGTCTACATAACAAGTTCCAAGCTAGAAATGGATTCATAGTGAGACCCTGACTAAAATAAAAAGGGGGGAAGTGGTATCTATAAATGAAGAAAACTGGCAGTGATTATTTTTCTTAAGAAAGATAAAGCCCTTTAATCACATCTCCTTTAAGGTTTATAAAACAAATTCTATGCAATATCTTCTTTACATCATCATAGACCTTTCCAGCTAAGTACAATGGTTAAGTTTCTCTTTTTCCAACATTTGTTTTATGGATATAATATAGGACAATTTGTTGACTGACTTGATTCTCTATAAAATAAATAACCCTCTATTCTTTATACAATAAATTACATTTTCTATAAAATTGGTTTATTATAGATGAACAAGAGGCACAAAAGACAGAGATTAAAAAAATAAATATTATACAGGGATAAATATCCCAACTAACATTAAGAAAAAAAACCTTTTAAGAATATGAAATTTTTAAAATTTACAAACAGCATTGCAATAGCAATGTGATTTACCACCATGATTTTGTGATAATTAAATGAAACAGATGTATTTAATTTATAGATTGACAAAGAAGTTAAATCACTAATTGTACTCCAGGCCAATGAATGAGCAATGCTCTCGTAGCAAGTTCTAATCAATTAGCATCAGTGTTATATGTGCTGAGTCCTATCCTCTTTTGTGTAGGAACTTGAAAACTGGCCTGATTTTTCAACATACAAAGATCAAAATTACCTAGGCTTAAAAATATTATTCCAATTGAAATCGTGATTATTTCATAACACATTCAACACAGTTTAAAATCCTAGGCACATTTCACAACTTCTATGACAAATAACTCATATTTAACAGACATCAGCACCTTCAGATAAGAAAACTACAGTACAGGCCTGGGGAAGTAGCTCAGTTGGTAAAGTGCTTCCTGGCATGCATGAAGCCCTGGGTTGGATTCCCAGCATCACATAAAAATGGGCATGGTGGTGCACTCCTGTAATCTCTGCGCTTGGGAGTAGAGGAAGGAGGCTCAGAAGTTCAAGGACATCTTCTGCTACATATGGAGTTCAAGGCCAGTGTGGAATTTATGAGACCCCCCCATCATAAAGGAAAAAAAAAAAAAAAAAAAAAAAAGGAAGTCCAATGTAAGGGTTAAACTAAAGGGTCAAACTAAAGGGACAAGCAGGCTCATTTCTTCACTCACTTACCGTCTGGCTGCTTTCACATGAACCAGCAGGCCAAGCAGCTGCCTCGAAGCTTACTTGGTTTACCATCTCAAAAATATTAAAAAAAAAAATTTCAGCTGCTGAACTATTAATTCAGTATTAATCTATGAGGCTTTTTTAATAATACTGAATAAATACACTCTTTTTTTTTTTGGTCTTTTTGAGACAGGGTCTACCTGAAGCCCCAGCTGGCCTGGAACTCAGAGATCCACCTTCCTCTGCCTCCTGAGTGCTGGGACTAAAGGTGTGTGCCACCACACCCGGCTCTAATAAAAAAAAATTTATAACTAGGTAAATTAGGTGAAAGGCACACAGGTGTTTTCCTTGCTAGACTTAACTTTTCAATTTTTCTGTGGGTTAATTTTTTTTCAAAATGAAAAGTTAGAGAAAGCTGGATGTGATGGTGCACACCTGTAATCCAAGCACTTGTGAGGGAAAGGCAGGATCAGGAGTTCAACACCAGCCTCAACTACAGAGTAAGTTTGAGGTTAGCCTAGGATATATGAAACCTAGTCTCAAAAAAAGGAAAAACGTTTAGAACAATTCTGATTTTTATTTTCCTGCCTCACCAACATCTAACGATGAATAACCGAACCTGATACGCTACTAGATAGTCTGTGACATACTACAAGAAATAAACAAAACCCCAATTTAAATGGAAAAACAGAAGTCAAAGACAGAAAAAAAATCCTACAATTTAAAGTTAAAATTAGACTGAGTTTCCTGCTCAACAGTCCTCGGTTTTTGTTGTTTTGCTCTAAGAAAGTGTTTTGTTTGTTTTGTTGTTGATTTTTCTGAGTTGTATATGTGTAAGTCACAGGACAACTTGTGAGAGTTTCACTACGTGGGTCCCAGAGATCAAACTCAAGTAGCCCCACAGCAAGTACCTTTGCCCACTGAGTTGTCTTGCTGGCCCCTAAGAAGGTTTTTAAACAGAACTTTTTGGCTTACATAAAAGTTTGAGGATATCATATTTTATACTTTAAAAATTAAAAAAGAAGAAAAAAAAGACCCTCTAAACCCATAGTTGTCCTAAATAAAAGAAGCTTCGAGTCAAACATCCTAGCTTCATAAAGAGACTGAAAACATCTTAAAAGCTTGGTGCTACCTTTAAGTGTTTCAGAAGTTCTCTGCCTAGTTCACAGTCCAATTTGATGGCAAACACAATGTGTAGAATAATGGTTCCTTCCACGTGATACAGTTCATCTGTTGGCACAGTAACAAGATCTAACAACCTAAAAGGTTCAATAGAAAGGTGTAAGTTTTAGTTACAGAATGGAAAAAAAAAAATGCTGTGTAGATGGAAAGTTTACCCTGCTTACAACAAAACTTACTGAAGGAATTATCTATATTGTTTTCATTTATTTATCCCATATTCTATTCCCAGTTCAACCCAATTCCATCAGGCTCTGTCTTACCTTCACCTCACCAATGTCACTTGACTATTCTTGTAAGGGTCACAGGTGACCTCCATGTTGCCCAAACCAATACAGTCCCGCTTAACTAACACCTCAGCAGATTGGACAGTTTCTAAGCATGTGCCACAACACCTGGCTTTTTTGCAAAACCTTCTCTTTGTTCCAGGGCAGCTTTGAGCTCACTCTATCTCTGTCTCTGTCCTACTCTCAGTTTTTTTGTTGTTGTTGACGACTCATCCTCCTCCATCGCTTAACCCTTAAATGCAGAGTGCCTCAGAACTTCCTCTTCACACTTTCCCTAGATAATTCTATCCTTGCCTCATGGCTTTGGTCCCTTCTAATTTAATTTTTAATATTTTTTAAATGAGCACCAATTTATATTTTCAGCTCAGGCTTTTTCCTACAACTCCTATTGTTAAACACCTCTATATGGATGCTAACATTTCAAACCTATCGTGGTCAACACCGAGTTCATTACCCTCTCTGAAACCTACTACTGCCAGCTTTTCCTAATTCAGTATAAAGGCCTCCTTCTTACCAACTGCTCAAGCCAAGTAACTAAGGTTATTACACACTAGAGGCAGTAGACTGAACTAGAGTAAACAGCATGAGCTTGCTCTCCAGCCTGTTTGAATTCAAGTCTTAGCTCTGCCGTCTTCTGCCCATATAACTACGGAAATTCCTTAATCTGTTTCTTGGTTTCCATATCCATAGAAGGCATGCAAGATTTGCATTCTATGCACCTGGCACAGAATATGCTCTCTGAAAATATTTTTAAAATAAAATATCTCTTTCTCTGTGTACAATGAACTACTGCCTTTATACTATCCCTATACCTGAGACTATTCTCTCTTATCAACATATTGAGGTTCTTACCAGCCAGTCTCTGGTTAAAACAGTACCTTCTCAGAGACATTTTCTCTGAACCAGTCTAGAGTAGCTGTGCTGTCATTGACACACTGTCTTTTTGGATTATCTTCACACATATTTTCCCCCGGAGCTGAGGACCGAACCCAGGGCCTTGGGCTTGCTAGGCAAGCACTCTACCACTGAGCTAAATCCCCAACCCCAAGCACTTTTAATATTCTCACCAAAATTTAAACTGCATTAACAGCAGGGATCTCACCTGACTGGTGCACCACTGTTCTCCCAAAGCCAAAGTAACCCACACAAAACAGACACTAGTTGGTTTTTTTCTTTTAAAATATTTTATTTATTATTTTTATTTTACGTGTATGAGTGTATTGCCAGCGTGTATGTAAATACACCTATATCATGCACTACTTAGGGCAGTCAGAAGTGGGCATTGGATCCCCTAGAACTGAAGTTCTGGATGGTTGTTAGCCACCATGTGGGTGCTGGGCCTTGAACATGGGTCTTCTGCAAGAGCGGTCAGTGCCTTTTCTTTTAATAGATTTTAAACCTGCATTTTACAGGACAATTATTGCTACTTTGCTGGCTTGGAAGTGTACAAACAAAAGAGTAAAAGATGCTTCAGTACTCTCCTAACTTTATTACTGAGCATCGAGGGAGGATTTCAGGGGTTCTATGATGAGGGGAAGGATGGGCATGAAAGCAAAGCTGCCAATGACATGACTAAAATACACTGTGGGAAGATGGATTTGCCAGATAATCCTTATTTCTAAACTATGTTACTCACTCATCACCACTCTGCTCCTCTCTGTGCTGCTTCTCTAGCTCACTGAAGAAGGCTATTATTCCATCCAGAACACTCTTTCTGCTTCCCTAAAAAAGAAAAAGACATATTCTGCTAATTAAAGAACAAAACAACCAAGTTCAATTTAAAGGATTATCAAATATAAATGTAAATAAACAAACTGCAACCTAGAGTTACAGTAAGAATGTACAGAACACCTTCAAGTTGCCACAGGGTTTGAAATACTTCCTGATAGGGAAACAGCTTAGTAGTAGTTCACATGCCTAGCATGCCCAAGGCCCTGGGTTCTGCTAATCTGAAAACCTTAGTGTCAGACTTTCTGTAGTCACAGTGTATACCCTTTCTGATGTCTTTCTTTTACTTTCACAAAGACAATGTATTTTTTCCTTGTCTGAAGAGCATGACCAAATCACCATAAGTAAAATAAAGAAAACGTATATGCCCATACGGAAGCCAATAGACTGAAAAAAGATGAATAAATGTAACTGCTCATGCCACAGAATTAAGGAGAAATAATTTTTCCTTTATACCTTTGAAGAGAGAATCAGAAGCTGATACACCAAAGGTGGTATTTCTTGAAGATTCAACTTTGAAAACATCTTCAACACTTTTGTCACCACAAATTCCACTTCTTCTGCAGCCAGAGGGACATCCCTAAAGATCAAAGACTTCAAAATCTAGCCAGAGCCTAATTGCTTTGATTTTAGAAATTAAATCCAGAGTTTTATAATAATTAAAATTCTATTAACATTTCTAAAGAAAATATGGATGCCAGGCTTGGTGATGCAAGTCTTTAATCTCAGCACTCGGGAGGCAGAGGCAGGTGGAGCTCTGTAAGATCAAGGCCAGCCTGGTCTACATAATGAGTTCCAGGTAGGCTGGGGCTATGGGAGATCCTGTTAATAAAAAAAAATAAAAATAAAAATAAAAATAAATGAATAAAAAGAATATCTGGAAGCTAGGGAGATAGCTCAGTAGATAAAACACTTGCTATGCAAGGATGAGGACCAGCACCCACAGGTATATGGGGTGGGCATAATGGCCCACCTGTAACTCAACTGAGACAGGGGATCCCCAGAGCACGTTGGTTGGCTAGACTAGCTGAATCATGAAGTTCTGGGTTCAACACATAAGGTAGATGGCAATCAAGAAAGACCCAACATTAACGTCCAGCCTCCACCTGCTCCACCTGCACCTGCATCTATGTGCATACCGACCCACACACAGGCAAACACACATACACACACATACGTACCACAAACATAGGCAAAAAAAAAAAAAAAAAAAAAAAACCACTAAAATTTGGGATCAGAGAATAAAGTATTAGATTATAACTGTTTGAGTTTTTTCTTATGAAGACTCTTTAAGTGAACCAATAAACTTAACTAAGCAAAATTATCTTGAAAAAAAAATAAAAACAAAAACAGAAACAAACTAGTTACACATTAAATAAAGCACAGAGAAGATGCTGTAAGGGAAGACACAGGTACCCAATGCTATTACTCAGAGTGGACTTTGGGCTTTCTGGGTTTTAATTTCTACCAGATGTGTTGACAAAGCATGCTATACAGAGAAAAGGAAAAAAGAATGCTTACTTGAACATAGATGTGAGCTGGATCACATATCGTTGATCCCATCTGGTTAAAGACAATGAGGGAGAATATGAGTTTATTTCATTTTAACTCCTTATATATGATTTTGTGAAACAAGTAAAGGGGGGGAAAATAGGACCACTTCAAGTTTGACTCTGCAATACTGGAAAGCAAGATAAAATAAATACTGTTTAAAACAATAACTGGGCATGTAGTCCTGTGATCTTGGTACTTCAGAGGTGAGGCAGAAATTCAAGGTCACCCTCCCCTACACACAATTTGAGGGCTACAGGAGCCCTGCCTTAAAACAAACAAACAAATAAACAAACAAAGACCAATAATTGGTTTATAACCTATTAGACTGGCAAAATCAAAGCAGTTGTTGATGAGGTTTAAGCCCTAGCACCAAAAAATGAACAAAACAAACTACACTGATAAAACCCAATACTGGTGAAATTATGAGAAGCCAACATAGTTTACATATATTTTACAGAGTATATAACTTACTAACTTTAAAGAAAAACACTTCAGGGGATGGCCAGGTATGGTGGCACACACCTTTAATCCCAGCATTCAGGAGGCAGAGGAAGGTAGATCTCTGTAAGATCCAGGGCAGACTGGTCTACAGTGAGTTCATGGCCAGCTGAGGCTACAAAGAGACCCTGTGTAGAAAAGAAAAAGGAAAAAAAAGTACATCATCACAAATCACCCAATTTACTATTTGAAATACAGCTCACATACCTACTTGCAAAAAGTAATTTCAATATAGAAAGACATTACTACAAACATTTTTCCTTTTGGTAACAGAAAAATATTTGAAGCAGGAATGGTGATGGGCCTATAATGCCAGTATTCCAGAGGCTAAGGCAAGAGGATCATGAGTTTGCCATCAACCTGGGCTATCTAATCTTAAAAAATAAGTAAGATAGGCATGAAGGTACATGCCTGCAATCCCAGGACTCAGGAGGAATGTTACAAATCTGAATTTAGCTATATAGTGAGCTTAAGGCCAGCCTGAACTACACTGAGACCCAGTCTCAAAAAATAAAAGAAAAAAAAAATAGGAGCTGGAGAGATGGCTCAGCCAATAAGAACATTAGCTGTTCTTCTAGAGAACCTGGGTTCAATTCCTAGTACCCACATGGTGGCTAACAACTGTCTGTAACTACAGCTCCAGGGGATCCTACACTCTCTTCTGACCTCTGTGGGCATTGCATGCATGTGGTACACTGAAATACATGCAGGCAAACACTCATACTCATAAAAATAATAAATATAATATTTTTAAAATAGCACTGGAAGCCAGGTGTGGTGGCGCATGCCTTTAATCCCAGCACTTGGGAGGCAGAGGCAGGTGGATCTCTGTGAGTTCGAGGCCACCCTGGTCTACATAGTGAGTTCCAGGACAGCTGGGGCTACAGGGAGACCCTGTCTCAAAAAGAAAAAAAAAAAAATTTCACTGGAGAGATGGCTCAGCAGTTAAGAGCGTTGGCTGCTCTTGCAGAGGACCTGGGTTCAATTCCCAGCACCCACATGGTGGCCAACAACTGTCTATAACTCCAGCTCCAGGGGATCCAATGCCCTCTTCTCACCTCTACAGGCATCGTATGACACAGGTGCACTTACACACATGCAGGCAATATACTCATACACATAAAAGTATTTTTAAAAATAAATTTAAAAACTAAAAAAGCCAGATATGGTGGCACAGACCTTTAATATCAGTGGGACGCAGAGGCAGGTAGATCTCTAAGAGATTGGGGTCAGCATGGAATTCCAGGCCAGCTGGGGCTACAGGGAGACCCAAGGAAGGAAGGAAGGGAAGGAGGGAGGGGAGGAAGGAAACCAAAAAACCAAAACAAGTAAGATACAAGAACAGGACAATTTCCCTTGCCTTGAGGACATTAGGACTCCAGATAATATTCAGAAGACTATGCTGCTGTGTTAAAATGAAAAGTCAAGTAAACTGAAAGTATGTACAGTTTTAGAAGAAAGAATACACTAAATCATCTTATTTTAAAAAATTCACTGCAGACTAAATGGTTTTTTGGTGGCATATTATTATTATGATTTTTTTTTTTTTTTTTTTTTTTTTTTTGAGTTTAAGATGACAACAACAGTGTAGGAAAGCTTTAAGTCTAGCAACTGCCCAGGAAGGAGATGGAGAAGTGAGAATGCCATGTCTTTTGAGATCAGCAAGGAGCTGCTTGGCAATTACGGGGCACTTCACAGGAAGAGTGAGAAACTCCAGAGTGTCAGGAAAAGTATACCCAGGCTTTAGCCAGTATCCAAGAGAGACAGGAAAGAAGAAAAACAAGTTATACTTTTCTAAGTCACTCCACAAAGTAGGCAGGCTATAGTGCTACGTGATAAAAGCTCTGCATGAGACTACTTATTTTTAATTTTTTTACATAGGGCATAATGTAGCACGTGCCAAACTCAAGCTTGCTATATAACTAAGGATGACCTTGAGCTCCTGCCTCCACCTCCCAAGTGCTGAGATTACAAGCATGCATTACCATTCCTGGCTCTTACAGTGGTAACAATCAATAAAATAGACAAGAAAGTCTACAAATACAGCCAGGGATGGTGGCACATTCCTGTAATTCCAGCAGTCTACAATTCTATCACTTGGAATTCCTACTTAGGCATGTAGGCAGAGGCATGCTGATCATGAAATAAAGGCCAGTCCAAGCTATACAGTAAAACACAGTCTCAAAAATAAATCCAATAAAACCGCCTATATTTAAATGTAACATGTTTCTAACACAAAAGCAGAAGGGGAACTATCTGGAGGGAAGCAGGGGAAATAGAAGCATAGTGAGGGAAAAGAACAAATTAATGTATGGCTAATTACAGTATAATGATACGTACGTATGTGTGTGTGTGTGTGTGTGTGTGTGTGTGTGTGTGTGTATGTGTGTGTAAATGCCATAAAGAAAGCTATTACTGGGGCTGCAGAGATGGCTCAGCAGTTAAGAGCTGGCTGCTCTTGCAGAGGACCCTGGTTTGGATCCCAGCACCCACATAGCTGATAACAGTTCCTAACTTCAGTTCAGGGGATCCAATGCCCTCTTCTGGCCTCCACAGACAATGCACAACATGGGTACACATACATATATGCAGGCAAAACACTCATACACATAAAATAAAAATATATTTGCAAAAATTAATAAAGAAACCTATTATTTTGTATCTTAACTTACAAATTAATAAATAAGAGCTGGGTGTGGTGGTGCATGCCTTTAGTCCCAATACTCAGGAGGCAGAGGCAGGCAGATCTCTGAGTTCAAGGCCAGCCTGGTCTACATAGTGAGGTCCAGGCCAGCTGGGGCTACTGGGAGACCCTGTCTCAAAAAAGACCACCAAAAAAATAAAACAAAATAAAATTTTATATATATAAAAGAAATAAGGGGGCTGGAGAGATGGCTCAGCAGTTAAGAACACTGACTGCTCTTGCAGAAGACCTGGGTTTGATTCCCAGCACCCACATGGAAGCTAACAATTGTCCGTAACTCCAGTTCCAGGGGATTTGATAGCCTCTTCTGTCCTCCGCAGGCACTTACCTACATGCAGGCACTACACTCATATACATAAAATAATAAATATTAAAAAAAGAAATCTATTATTTTGTACACATAACAAAAATGTTGGAAACTAAAGAGAAAAAAACAACAGCAGCAGCAGCAAAACTTTACGTTCCTGCTATAATTCGCCACTCAGTTTTGGGGAACTTGCAGTCTGAGGTGCTCCTATATATGAATGGGTCTTACCTGCCAGAACAGAGGGTATTTACCAACTGCTTCTTATACTCTTCCCCATTCAAATCACCTAAAAATGCAAATGCACAGAAATTAATGTGATTACACAAACAGAGAAAACATCACTAAAACTGAAAGAAAATTACCTTTCCCATAAGCTAGATTTTCCTTTTTGGTAGCCAAGGCAGTGAGAATGATAGGAAATAACTCCAAGGACTTTCCATTCACTAGGGTACCCTCTCCAATAGCACCAATAAACTCATTGGCTAATTCAACAAGTAATGGTCCTGGAAAATGGTGAGCCTGAAAGTTCAAGGGATAAAGAAAATCTTAAGCAGAAATCCAGCGTTGGAAATCTCTTTCCATGAAGTTAAGTCTTTCGCTGAAATTACGGAGTTGGCATTGAGTTGAATTGGCACTATAAGGGATTAACAGAATCATGCTGGTGTGTTCCATATTTGTAACTATAAAGGACATAAAGGTTATAAACCTCCATTGATCCCCTACTGTTTTCAAAACCTACAAGATAGTTTATACCTAACAAATCGCACTTTTTAAATAACAGCTCTTATTCATAAACAGAACTATGCTAGGTTAGGCACTTAAAATTTTCTTTCCCTCAACAAATTATTACTTATCCCAAACTACCCCCAAACAAATGTTTCCCCTTCCTTCTTACCTCCAGCATTAGTAAACCTATGATCTCCGATGCTACTTCTTGCTGCAGATCTCCTGATTCAACCAACTGGATACAGCAAGAATATATCTTGTATCTCCTAAGGGCTGCATCTTCCTCAGAGCAGGGAGAACCTTTTTGTTTTAAACAAGCAATACAGAACAAATGGGGGGGTGGGAAGAAGTCTTAAGGATAACTAGGAAAATAAAAGTTTGTAATTTAATATGGAAACAGAATTATGGTGTTATAATAGTAATACGAAGAGGGCTTTGAAAAATTACTTCATTTAGCCAAAACAAAGGGACTGAAATGTCATCTGCTTAACTCATTTTATTTTAATAATTATACACTGCAGGAAGAAGAAATCTTCTAAATATATCTTGTAGCATTTTGGGAAGGGGGATTCACTGCTCAAATTTAATGCCCTGAACATGTTTTATTTAAAAGCATTATCACTAAGTTATGTCAACAGAAATGGCAGAGTAATAAGGACACTGAAAATTCATCTCTTCCATAAAAGATACAGAAATACTGACAAAAACAGCCTAAATGAACTCTGGACATTAACCAAAGAATCACAACAACCAAAGGAGTCTCTATTTTAAAAAACAAACAAACAAACCCCACTATGGACGTGGTGGTCCACTCCTTAATCCAGTATTTGAGAGGTAGATGCAGGAGGTCAGTAATTCTTGACTGAATCAGGAGTTTAAAGCCATTATGAGATCTTATCTCACAAATTAAAACAAGAAAACAGCAATTCCAGACAGGGATAGAGAGATGGCTTAGCAGTTAAGAGCACTGGCTCCTCTTGCAGAGGATCTGCGTTTGGTTCCCAGCACCCACACAGTGGCTCACAACCATCTGTAACTCCAGTTCCAGGGTCTCTGACACCCTCTTCCAACCTCTGCAGGCACATGATGCACTTAGATATATTCAGGCAAAACATTCATACAAATAAATAAATAAATAAATAAACAAATAAATAAATAAATGTAAATTTTAAAAAATTCCAGATAATCAATTCATATAAAGATGCCAGATGGGAGGAAGACTAAAGTTGGAGCTCTACCTCATTCCACATACAAAAGTCAATTTAAGATCAAAGACCTCAAATACAAGAATACAAGAGCTAAAGCAAAACTTCTTGTAGTGACACATATATAATTCCAGTAGTTGGGAGATAGGCAGGATTAGGAGTTTGAGGCCATGCGGGGCTGGACCTTGAGGCCTTATCTCAAAAATTAAAACAAACCAGAAAGAGCTAAAGCTATAAAACTTTGAGAAGAAAACTCAGGTATAAATCTTCATGAGTTTGCATAAGGTAGCAAAAGCACCAACAACTAAAACAATACAGATGAGACAGCACTGAAAGTAAAGTTTGTGTGTCAAAGAATACCATCAAAAAAGAGAAGATGCGAGGCATGATGGCACGTATCTTTAACCCCAACAACTGGGAGGCAGAGGCAGGCAGATTCTCATATTCATTCTCTCTCTCTCTCTCTCTCTCTCTCTCTCTCTCTCTCTCTGTATACATGCATGTGAAGAACAGAGGATACCCTCAGGTCAAGTATGAGGACTTGAATTCAGATCCCCAGAACCCACATAAAGGCCAGATGCCTAGTACAAGTGTCTATAATCCCAGTGCTCGGAAACTTGTGAACCAGCTAGCCTGGCATAGGCAAGTAGAAAACCCTATCTCAAACATGTGCATACCTGCATTCACAGATATACACACACACACACACACACACACACACACACACACACACACAAAGAAAAGACAACTCAATAGCATTCCACCTTGTTTTCTGGGTCAGGATTTCTCTCTGAACCTGGAGCTCACTAACTGGCTATACTGGCTGGGCAGCAGGCCCCAGGGATCCTCCCATCTCTGCCTCCCCAGTGCTGGGATTACAGGCACGTGCTGCTGTAGCCAGCTTTTACATGGGTGTTAGGGACTAAACTCGGGTACTCATACTTGTCAGTCATGTCATCAGCTTCTAATCTGATTTTTTATTTAATTATTCTGACTTTATGTGTCTAAGTATTTTGCCTTCATGTATGGAAGTATACTACATGCATGCCTGGTCCCCACAGAGGACAGAAGAGAGCATGAGATCCCCTAGAACTGGAGTTACAGATGGTTCTGAGTCACCATTTGGGTGCTGGGAACTGAACCTTGGTCCTCTGAAGAGCAGCCAGTGCTCTTACCTACTGAGCCATCTCTTCAGCCCCTTCAATCTGATTTTTAAAGTTTATGAATAGGTTTTTCTTCAAAGACATATAAATGGCCATATGAAAAGATGTTCAATATCATTATCCATTGCAAAAATGCAAATCAAAAGTAGAAGATGGGGCCAGTGTGATGGCTTAGTAGGTAAAATTGCTAGTAACCTGAGTTTAAGCCCCAGAACCTACACACAAAGACAAAAGGAAAGAATTAACCTCACCAAGTTGTCCTCTGACCGTCACACAAACACACACACACACAAAAAAAAAATCAACAAAATCTTTTCAAAAAGAAAAGAAACTCAGAAGAGACCACTTTACCCTAACTAGGATGGCTATAATGAAAAAAGAAATAACACAAATTGAAAAGAATACGGAGCAGCTAGCTCCTTCATACAGCCACCCTGGAAAAGTCTGGAAGTTCCTCAGTTAAACATAGTCACATGATCCAGTAACTCCACTCCCAGATATGTGTGTATATAAACAT